AATGATAATCGCAATGTAATATTAGATAGATGAAAAAATGCAAGACAATATATAAACTGCATCTGGGTATAACCCCCCCTACCCCCAGGACAGTATGAAGTATGGGAATTTTTGGTTTTCCCAAAGGTTTTGATAAACCAAGCATACAAATGATCATATCATAGGGGGTTGGAATCTAGAGAAGAGGCGTGTAGACAGCCAGACTTCTAGTATCTCATTAGTGTTAATATATATGCAAAAGTATTTAGGGTAGAGGGAGAGGAGGTAGTAGACACCCCTGGGCTCTCCATCATATTCCAGCTTGAAACACAAATTACTATACATATAGTAACTGTAAATAGACAAAACATATATATATTAGAAATATAATATAAACAACATAAACACATATTTTTTAAATTCTTTCAACAACTCTTTAAGGCAAAATTGTCTTTAAGGATTTGTCAATTAATTCTACTTCATTATGGATCCCAAAAGAGCATCTCAAGAATGTTACTAGGGCCTATTATATGATTCATACTAAAGGAATAAGGTTGGATTCTGAGAACCCCACCTGAGAATCTGGGGCATTCTTTGATTTCATTGTATTCTTAAAAGTCAAGGGGTTGTGATGGGAAAACACTGATTTTTTTACGAGGCGATGTTCCCAAGTACACATCAAAATACTCTAAAGAAACCATAGGGGCTAATGCCTCTTTTTCCACCGCTGAATAATTTTTTTGGGCGGGCTTTAATTTAGATGAAAAAAGCAAATGGGATGCAAAACTTCAGTCTCTGCTATATTTTGTAGTAAGACTGCTCCTATAGCATAGCAGCTAGCATCAATATGTAAGATAAAAGGTTTATGAAAATTGGGACTTTGTAATACAGGAGAGGACGTAAGCATTCGTTTTAATTTTTCAAAAGCTTCATTACTTTCCAAGGTCTATTTAAAGGCTACTCAGGGGCTAGTTAATTCAGTCAAAGGAGCGCCTAATTGTGCAAAGTTGGGACAAAATCTTCTGTAATAACTAATCATACCTAGAAATCTTTGCACTCCTTTTCTATCACTCGGAATAGGGAATTCAGTAAAGGGCTTTTACTTTAAGGTAGGGGGAACCACTTTCCCTTGTCCTATTTGAAAACCTAATATTTAATAGTGCGTTTTCTGAAGGCACACTCTGCTAATTTACCATGAAATTAAAGCTTTCCCACTGATCTGAATAAACTTCTAGAGAATAAGATGTTCCTCCAAGGAAATCAATGTACACCAACCCAAAACATCAAGATATTCCTCGACTCCTTCACAAGTTATCAGCTATTCATAAGTCTTTGAAAGGTTGAGCCATGTTGCATAACTGAAGGCATAACTCGTAATTGAACAAACCATCTTTAATGGCAAAAGGCTGTTTTGTCACTTCCCTTGGAGCCAGAGGACTTTGTTTGTACCCTGCAGTAAATCAGTGGAGTAGGGAATTACAAACAAACATGTGTTTAGCACGAGCACACTACGCCTGTCTTGGTAAAGGGTCCCTTTAGCGGTCCTTAGTGTGCCCTAAGAGTCTCCCCAGAACCACAAAGAAGTGTTGATCAAACATATTACCTATGTTTCCAAACTTCCTTTATGAAGCAATGCAGAATGCTTGATCATGTGTGTCTGGGCATAGATGTCAGTGTACATCTTTAACATTGGTAATCAAGTGGGTGCAGGATTTTCCTTAATTCTCCTTCTAAGGTAAAAGATTATCTCATTAAACTTCACTATGGTTGCAAAAACTGCTCTCTTGCAAAGAGTGGCATGGGTCATGACACACAGTCGTATGCTTCCAATTAAAAGTGTTGTTGCAGAAGCAAAATGCCATTGCCCTTTCTGAGAGTGTTAAACGGCTAAAAAAGGGGTGTTAGGGCTGACACCCAATCTCCTAGAGAAAATTTTACCCAAATTTGAGTTATATAAGGTATTCCTGTCATGTTTCAAGAGAAAAGATTTCAATTATGCTTCTTTCTATGACAGAACTGTTTGGTACAATAATTTGGGTGATTACAGGAGCTAACATGGTTATGTAATGCGTTTAGCTGTGATTGCACCATACACCGACATGATTACCTGATTATATAGGTAATGGGTTAAAGGATATTAGAATTAGAAATCTGGATCTTAGAAATATTATTGGAATGGTATAGAAGAATCCCAAGTAAGGCATAATAATCGATGCTGAGAAAAGCAGTTGACAATATAAAGGATATGTCCCAGTACCCCTGAGAACATTCGGGAACAGGACATTTAAAAGGACAAACAGCACATTCGTTTCCTTACTTTTATTAATTAAATAGGATAACAGAATAATAGCAATCCATATATATATATATATATATATATATATATATATATATACTATATATATATATATATATAATATCCACTGAGAAACATATTTTCTCAAGTCAGAGGACCTGTTCTAAACGGCTAGAAAAAGCTTAGGGCAGACTGTTATGCCTTCTAATTTTAAAATTCTTGAGCTAAATATTTCCACCCCTGTGGCTTGTCTTGCATAAATAAATAAATAAATATGTATATATATATATACATATATATAATATATATATATATATATATATATATATATAATATATATATATATATATATATATATATATATTATATATATATATATAATATATATATATATATATATATATATATGTCGTGCCGAATATGTAAAACTGGTCAATTAGCAAGAACTCATTTAAAATTAAGTCCTTTCTAAAATTTTCTTTTATACGTTTAAAGATATATTTTTTTCATTAATGTTAATGTAAAAATTTATAATTTTGCACCAAAAGAATGTTAGAAAACTTACCTAACCTTATTATAACAAGAACAATTTATTTTATCCCAACCCAATTAAATATATTTTAGATTTGTTTACAATAATTTAATACTAAACAAACACAGTGAAATATATTTTTTTCGTTAGGTTCAGAATGATTTTGGAGAAATTATTGCATACACAAATTTTCACTTGTCCTATATGGCAAGATGAACGTTGCTATTTAAGCCAAGATCGCAAATTCTGCCTATTCGGCACGACATATATATATATATATATATATATATATATATATATATATATATATATATATATATATATATATATATATATATATATATATATATATATATATGTATATATATATATTATATATATATATATATATATAATATTATATATATATATATATATATATATATATATATATATATTATATTATATATATATATATATATATATATATATATATATATATATATATATTATATATATATATATATATATATATATATGCAATAAGATCACAGTAAACAGGTGATTTCAAAATATGCAAAACAACCACTCTGAAAGAATAGAGAAATTTCAAGCGCTTTCGTGACTACTCACATTATCAAGGAACTATGTTCCTTGATAATGTGAGTAGTCACGAAAGCGCTTGGAATTTCTCTATTCTTTCAGAGTGGTTGTTTTGCATATATATATATATATATATATATATATATATATATATATATATATATATATATATATATATATATATATATATATATATATATATACATATATTATATATATATATATATATATATATATATATATATATATATATATATATTATATATATATATATATGTATATATATAGATATATATATATATATATATATATATATATATAATATATATATATATATATATATATAATATATATAATATAGATAGATAGATAGATTGATAGATATATGTATATGCCCTCCAAGTCATTCTGTTTTATTCCATCCTCTCAAAATTGCCAAACCACCTCAACAAACCCTGCTCTGTCTTCTGGATAATGCTTTTGGTTACCCACACCTACTTATAATCTCCAAGTTAAGGATTCTCTTCATAATATTCACACCACGCATTGCCCTCAGACATCTCCACTGCCTCCAGCCTTCTCCTTGTTGCAACATTCACCACCCATGTTTCATACCCATATAAGAGCTTTTGTATAATTATACGCTCATACATTCCCATCTTCGCTTCCATGGATAAAGTTCTTTGTCTCCACATACTCCTCAGTGCACCACTCCCTTTTTCCCTTAATCAAGTCTATGATTCACCTCATCTTTCATAGACGAATCTGCTGACAAGTTCACTACCAAATATCTGAATACATTCATTTCCTCCATACTTCCTCCCTCCAATCTTATATCCAGTCGTTCACTTCCTAATTTTTTGTTATCCTCATCATCTTGCTGTTTCCTATATTCACTCGTAATTTCCTTCTTTTATACATTATTACGAATTGTTGATGTTACATGGCCTGTACTTCTTCGAAACCAGGCAAGAAACATTCATCGTAATATACTTGGAAAATCTTAGAGGTACTAGTTCCAAACTAGCACAAGGAAATCACTCCCTATTAAAACCAAAGACTCAGCAGGCGGTGCTACATCCCTCATTGAAAAGCAGTGGCGCCACAAGTACGCTAAGAGACTAACATATTAAGTATCAGGGACCCAAGACTGTACAATTGCCTCCCAACATACATAAGGAGGATTACCTATAGACCCCTGACTGTTTTCAAAAGGGAGCTGGACAGATACCTATTGTCAGTAACTGACCATGTGGGTTGGGGTTCGTACGTCGGTTTGCGTGCAGCCGGCAGTAACAGCCTGGTTGATCATGCCCTGACCCACCACAAGGCCTAGCCATGAACCTGGTCGAAGGGGGGGGGGTTGACCCTCTGAACACTCTCCAGGTATTCTCCAGGAATTCATCAGGTATACTCCATGAATTCATCAGGTATACTCCAGGTATACACAAGGTATACTTCAGCTTCTCCCTTTTCATTTGCCTCTCGTTCTACATCCTTCTATCAAATTCTCAAAACCTAAATTTACTTGGATCATAACTGTCTCAAATTTCTACAGTTCTGTATAACCCCTGTGGGTTTATCTTTTACTCTTAAATGCAATAATGATGATGTTACTTCAGAGTATTTATTGAATATTTCTTCAACATTGTTTCAGGGATAACTGTAAGGTATGATACACCTGCAGAGGTTCGTGACTTCATAATAGACTATGGTCGTACTGAACAAGCCGCCACACAAATGAGGAAGGAAATGTGTAGCAATCTAAATGTGAAATACCCAACATTTTGTGGCATTATCGGCAGGGACAAAAAGTAAGAAAGAGACTTTTTTCAAAGGTAATTATGAGCACAACATTATTTATTAAGAGGAAATTGTAAAACATATTATTTAACATCTTATGCCTACAGAAAGAAGCCTCATTTGTACCCAAGCAAGGCGCAGGTGTCGGCAAACAAGAAGCAGATAAACCAGATGAGAAAACAGCAATACAAGCAGCAACATTGCCAAGGTAAGTTATGCCTCGATGTTGTATAAAATTTACTGAAACATATTGCACATAGATCACATATTGTTGTCAATGTTTTTTCCTCACTTGACAGATGTATAATATACTCTAATATTTACAACCAAAAATACATTTTTTTCTTGCGGGATAGAAGATTCTATAAAGACATGTACAATGAACCTAATTAACATATATATATATATATATATATATATATATATATATATATATATATATATATATATATATATATATATATATATATATAATATATATATTTATATATATATATAAGAGACGTGGTATTAGCAGCAGTACAAGAACATTTCCCTGGTCTCTTCCCTTTTGTTTCAGCTGGATATAGCAAGGAATCAATGCTTCTCTTTGGAGAGCATGAAATCACATCATCAGAGGGTGTCCAACAAGGAGATCCTCTTGCACCATTTCTCTTCTGTATTGCAGTTAGGGAAATCACAGTCAGACTGACCAGCGAGCTAAACATCTGGTTCCTAGATGATGGCACACTAGCAGGTACAAAGGAGTCCCTCCTACATGACCTTACACAGGTAATGACACGGGGACAGGAAATGGGTCTCATCCTGAATCCATCCAAATGTGAAATCATCTCAGTCAGTCAACAAGTGATAAATGCAGTGAGATCAAAACTACCAGGAGCAGCAGTCATTGCCCCCACAAATAGTGTCTTGCTAGGAGCACCTCTGGGAAGCAATGCCATTGACACAATTCTCAGGAAGAAATTGGAAGAGTTAAGGAGAATGGAACAACGAATAGGCAATCTGGACACCCACGATGCCTTGTACCTTCTCACAAAGTGCTTGAGTCTGCCCAGGTTGACATATTTCCTAAGATGTGCACCTTCATATGATAACCCTATACTGCACGAATATGACAGTATTCTGAGGCAGATTTTTACGAAAGTACTTAACCTTACTCTAGAAGACGGGCAGTGGAACCAAGCTACACTTCCAGTCAGACTAGGAGGCATTGGTGTCCGCAAGTCATCACAGATTGCGTTACCTGCTTTTCTGTCCTCGTGTATTGCATCCAGAGAGCTTGTAGCAGCGATTCTCCCTGAACATCTTAGGGACAAGATTGGAGCCCAGGACCAAAAATTCATTGACGGAGCAATGATCTGGGATAATCTAACGGGCTCAGAAACCAGACCTGCTCCCCCCAACAACTACAAACAATCGCACTGGGATGGTCCAATAGTGGAAAATATAGCCTCAACGATGCTTCAGAGTGTGTCAGGGAAGGATAGAGCCCGCCTGCTGGCAGTGAGAGCCCCTCATTCTGGGGACTTTCTGTTGGCTGTTCCCAACTCCAGCCTTGGCACACGCCTCGACCCACAGACCATCCGCATCGGTGTTGCCCTTCGACTTGCCGCCCCTATTCTCGCCGAACACAGGTGTATTTGTGGCAGTGAAGCAGCAGACCGATTCGGGTACCATGGTCTTGTGTGCCGTAAATCCGAGGGAAAGATTGCAATACATGAGGAGGTTAATAACATTATCAAGAGGAGCCTCACAACAGCTGGATGCCCAGCAGTAAGGGAGCCACCCCAACTATGCAGATCTGATGGCAGCCAGAAGCGTCCAGATGGTATCACCCTTCAAGCCTGGACAGATGGGAAGCAGGTGGTGTGGGACTATACATGTGCATCTACCTTGGCTGATACCTATCTCCAATACACCAGGGAGGAAGGAGGGGCAGCTGCCAGCTTTAGGGAGTCCCAAAAGTCTAGAAAATATGGAGAACTTGCCCATCATTATAAGTTTGTTCCCATAGGTTCAGAGACCCTTGGCTCATGGGGAAAGAGTGCATCTAATTTCCTTAAAGAGCTGGGAAAAAGACTCATCAGGGTAACTAGGGATCCCAGGGCAGCTAGTTTTCTGTTCCAGCGGCTCAGCGCGGCTGTTCAAAGGGGTAATGCATGCTGCATTTTGGGCACACGCCCCAGCTCTGAGGAGCTGGATGAGATTTTCGCCTTACAATCGGTGATACACACGTAACAACATGTATATATATATATATATATATATATATTATATGCCACCTTTATATCAACAATGTATCTCTTAAATCTTCTGTGCCATATTATGTAATAAAATATTCCCATTGGTAAAAAAAAATAGTTTAAAAGATGGGGTGGTAGGGGAAGTGGAATATTCAAATGGCTTCAGGAAGAAATCCAAATATTCTTCCTTGAAGCCTTTTTATCCACTTCTCCGAGGCTATGGGTCCCACAATTTACACCAGAGGTGGACCCCATCCTATAAAAAAAAAAAAAAAAAAAAAAAAAAAAAAAAAAAAAAAAAATATATATATATATATATATATATATATATATATATATATATATATATATATATATATATATATATATTATATAATATATATATATATATATATATGTGTGTGTGTGTGTGTGTGTGTGTGTGTGTGTGTGTGTGTGTGTGTCGTGCCGAATATGTAAAACTGGTCAATTAGCAAAAACTAATTTAAAATTAAGTCTTTCTGAAATTTTCTCTTATACGTTTAAAGATATATTTTTTTCATTAATGTTAATGTAAATTTTTTTTAATTTTGCACCAAAAGAATCTTAGAAAACTTACCTAACCTTATTATAACAAGAGCAATTTATTTTAGCCTAACCCAACTAAATATATTTTAAATACGTTTACAATAATTTAATACTAAACAAACACAGTGAAATATTTTTTTTTCGTTAGGTTCAGAATGATTTTGGTGAAATTATTGCATACACAAATTTTCACTTGTCCTATATGGAAAAGAGAGTGTTGCTATTAAACCCAAAGCCCCAAAGTTCTCCTTTTCGGCACGACATATAATATTTATATATATTAATATATTATATATATTAATTATATAATAATATATTATATATTATATATATACAAAAAACCATGTAAAAAAATAGAGAAACCCAGCTTTCGTGATACTAATTATCATTGTTCCTTGATAATGTGAGTGTCACGAAAGCGCGGGGAATTTCTCTTTCTTTCACAGTGGTTGTTTTGTATATTCAAAAATCACCTGTTTTTGATCTTATATATATATATATTATTTATATATTTTATATTATATATATATAATATTTATTATATATTATATATATATATATTATTATAATAATATATATTATAATTTTGCCAATGCTTTCAATCGTCAGAAGGGATGTGCTCCCCAAGCAGTTTATAGAAACCCCCTTTCCCTTTTTAAAACCCTTCATAGAATCGTGTTAAGTGTGACTTCCAACTATTTTTTGGGGGGACCATGAAATTGACTCTGTGAGGGCGTGAACGGGGGCCCTCTGCCCCCTTTCTATTTGTTTGGTATCAAGGAAGTCACGGAGGCACTCTCCAGCGAGCTCAATATCTGGTTCCGGACGAGGGTCCCTAGCTGGCACAACAGAATCTCCCCTGGAGGACATCAGTAAAATTAAAGACATCGGGGAAAGCCGGGGACTTTCTTTAAACCCCACAAATGTGAAATAGTTTTACCAATCAACAGTTGATCCAGAATATTAGTCCCGTTTTCCCAGGAGACGACCCATTGACCCAGCCAATAGCACTTCCCGGGCTCCTCTTGGGCCAATGCCATCGATCTGATCTAGGAAAAAAAGCCAACCCCCCGGAGATGGAAAGCAGGATGAAGACTTTGACAACACGATCCTTCTCCCTCACCAGGTCCCTGTAAACCCCAAAAAAATTTACCTATTTTTGAGATGCCCCCAGCCTTCCCCAGTAAAAAATAAAAGGAATTGATCTCCCCTGAAGGCCTCTGAGAGTGTTTGGGTTTCTTTCCCTTGACGATGGACAGTGGTTGCAAGCCTATTTCCCGGTCAGGCTTGGAGGGCTAGGAGTACCAGATCCCCCCCAGATTGCTCTACCATTTTTCCCTACCCTTTCCCATTGCATCAAACTTTGATAAGAAAATTTTCTTCCTGACACCTCAGTGTCAGCAGGAAAGAAGACCTAGCTATGTCATGCATCACCGAATGGGAGACTTTGCTGTCCAGCACCAAACCCCCTAGTGCAGCACTGGCCCCAAAAAGTAAGCGGGGGATAGCCCAATTGCTGAAAAGGTGTTGCCAACATGTTAGGGCTGCAACATCAGTAGGGAGATTCCCCGTCTCCAGGCTGTGAGTGCACCTCCTCCGGGGGTTCCTCCAAACATTCCCCAAACGGCAATGGGAACGCGACTCGACCCTAAGACCCCCTTTTTGCAGGGGCTCTGCGTTGCTGCCCCAATTACACGAATTATGTGTATTTGCGGCGAAGTGCAAGCAGACCAAAACGGTCTAATGGGCTTTAACTGTCCAAAACCAAGGGCTGGCATGCAAGCACAAAGAGGTCAACGACATCATTAAGAGAACCCTTGTACAGCTGGATGCCCTGCCCAGAGGGGGCCACGATCACTTGCAGCAAACAATACCCACAAAACCCGAAAAAAGCCCACGGGGTCACCATCTATCCTTTGGAAAAAGGCAAGTCTGATGGGGCTATACCCGTGTGTCCACATGGTGACACCTATATCCAGCACAGTGTGGGGGACAGGGAGGACTGCTGACCCCAGGGGGGAGTACAAAACGAAGTCAGGGACATTAGCCCAAAAGATCAATTTTCCCATGGGATCAGAGCCTTGGGATCATGGGGGGAAAAAAAGCCACAGTTTCCTTTAAAAAATTGGGTTCCAGACATCGACACCACCAGGGACCAAGGGCAGCCTTTCATGTTCCAGCGCCTCAGCGCGCCCCTCCCGAGGGGAAAGCTTGCTGATACTTTGGTTTTACGTCCAGCCTCGGAGGAGCTGGAGGAAATTTATCATCTTTGAACATTGTGCCATTGTATTCTGTTTATGTTTTTTTTTTTGTAAATGTATTTTTTTTATTAATAAATGTTCACAAGAATTAAATATAGGGGGTGGGAGGGGAAAAAATTCAAACACTCCGGGGGAAA